GCGGTCGACCGTGGTGGTCGACCGTCGCGAGTCCAGAGACTTTCGCGATCGATCGCCGCGGTCGACCGTCGCTTGTCCAGAGCAGTGTTGCTCGCGTTCGACCGCCGCGGTCGACCGCCGATATGACCGTTGGAACCCAACGATTATTTTCTGAGCTGTTTTTCTGGGGGGCTTTGTTGTCATTTTAGTGGGTTTTTGCTAAAGTTTTGAGAGAGTATAAATACCCCATTGCCTTCAGCTCTTCATCTAATCCAAGAGAATGTTTTTTAAATAGTTTAACAAGGGTTTAAACTTATTTAGTGTTTGTTTAAGTTTGTTTTAAGAAGCTTTTAAGTATTTGAGTGTTTTCGGTTTTGTGAATCAATTCCACAAGAGCTTGAGGAGATTATCTATTGAAGTTTGAGCTTCCAACTATCCTTCCTCCATCTCTTGTTATCAATTGAGAAGTTTTCTAAACTCAAACTCTAGCTTTACATTTATATACTTGTTTGATTATCATTGTTCTTAAGCTAGATTTTATATTTGAGTTTAGTTGATTTGATTTTATTTACTCATTGTTACACACACCCACTTGAGCTTATTGTATTTGCATACATAGTATATTAGGGTTGTGAGAGATTGTAACATTGAGTTATGCTTAATTGAGTTCTCATCTATTGTAGAGAACAAATTTATATTTGTTACATTGTGAGTGGTGTAAGGTTTTCGGTGAGCTAGAAAACCGAGTGTGTTGTGAAAATCGACACTGTGAGGTGTAAACGTTATTCGGGTGAACGTAGAAAACCCGGTTGTGATAGTGGATTTCTTCCCGGGAGTGGGGAGCGGAGACGTAGGACGGAAGGTCCGAACTCCGTGATCATATCGTGTGTTTGAGTTTGCTTTGGCGCACTTAATCTTATGTTTATATTTCTTGTCGCCATTGTCCATAGCTTATTATTTATATCATCCACTATCTAGTTCATATTGTTTACCCTTGTGTTAGTTTATATCCTTATACATACATTGCCTATATCTCTTTGTTAGGATATATCTTGTTGTTCATATTGCTTATTCTAGCTCATATATCTTGTGGTATTTCATACTTGCTAGGATAACTCATTAATTAATTTTAATTGGCATTTAAATTAGATTAGAGTAGCATAAGACCCTAATCACCCCCCTCTAGGGTCTAACACATTCTGCAAGGAGCAGGGACATTGGAAGAGAGACTGTCCGAAGCTCAAGGAGAAAGAGAATGGCAAGAAAAATGGCCCGAAGGCCAATGAGGTGAATATTGCGAAAGGCGATGATTCCGATGATTCGTGCTTTTCTCTACTGATTACTCCGGAGGTGAACCATGTGGATGCATCAGATTGGATGCTTGATTCCGGCGCTACCTTTCATGTGACCCCTAGGCGCATTATGGAAATTCATAGAAGCGCATCAATGAGACTTAGAGGCGATCCGACAAGCTTTGGAGGATCCCGCTTTAAGTTCTAAAGGAGCTTCATGCACACGGCCACTAGGCGATAGCCCTAGTGAGGTTTGCAAGTTCGAATCTATTAATGATTTACCTAATGATGAACTTGCTTGTGCTAGTGATAAATTATTGCATGCCTACAAGAAATTGCAAAATGATTTCATTGATTTATAAAGCAAGCATGTAAATTTGAAATCCGATCATGAGTCTTTATCTTCTAAGTTTGATACTATTTCTAATGAAAATATGATCCTTAAAGAAAACAATGAAAAATTAAAATTGGATCATGATTCTTTGCTTTCAAACTTTGCTAAGTTAACTCATGAAAGAGATAATGTCATGCTAGAAGTAGTAGCTATTAGAAATGATTTTGATAACCATACATGCTCTACTTCTATTATCAATGATGTTGTGCATAATGATGATTTGAATCTTGTTAAGGAACACATATCATGCTTAGATTCATCTTTAAAAACATGCATTGATAACCATAAGAAACTTATGGACAAGTGTGCTAAATCTAATGCTACAAAATCACCTACACACTATGCACACTTGTATAACAAAGTTTACAAGTGCTCCTTTTGTGGTCGTAAAGGCCATTTAGCTAAATTTTGCTATGATGCACAAAAACATAAGAATATTAATCCTACTTGTGCATCTCATCAAGTTAATTCATCACATGTACACACACATGCATCTATTTCTCATCATAAGCATGCCCATGTGTATCATTGTAATTTTTGTGGTAGAGTTGGTCACTTAGCTAAGTTTTGTTTTGATTTGCGAAAAAATTCTAAATCGCAAAATATTTCAAGTAGACCAACATTGTTTCAAAATGTTTCTCATTTGTAAAATAATCTTAAAAGACCATCTTTATTTGCAAATGTTCCATGTGCACCTTTTAATGGTCAACATAAGCAAATGCTTCCTTTCCATTGTACATATTGCAATCGGAAGGGTCATTTGAGTAATTATTGCTATGACCGATCCCGTGCACCATATAGGGGTCATGTCCCTAAATCTCTTGGTACTAAGAATTCTTGGGTACCAAAACAAATTTGATTTTTAAAACCAAGTACTTTAGTGCTTTTCTTTTTTCTTTTCTTGGTTTTGAAAATTATATCTTAAAATCTTTTGATTATGAAAACAAATTTTTAATTTATCAAATCTTTTGTTTTCATGATTATTTGTTTTGATTTTGATAAGAGGTTTGTGTTCATATAACCCTCCGGATTTATTGGGTGTTTATTCCCAAATCTTGTTTACCGAACGCTAAAATATTTATATGGGTTGATACTAGCTCAATATCTAGATATAATTATCTCTATTGATTTTTGAAAATCAATGATGGTTTGGTTTTATACTCTT